TTAATAGGGTTATTTAAATTTTATAAATTAAGAAATAATAAAAATATAAGTAGCAATAAAATAATTTTGTTTAATAATTAAAATAATATAAAAAAATTAAATATGTAATACAGGCCCTTAATACTAATCTTATGAGTAATTGATAAAATATTGTTTTTATTTATTTGTATAATTACAATATTTATCGTTTATTGTTTATTTTATTTTATTTTTTTCGTCATATTAAATGATATTTTATATTTTTATATTATATGAAAAATATGTATAATAATTATGTACTGTATATTCGTTATTAATATACTATTGGTTTTTTAAAATCAAATAAAATTTTATAATTAAATATTAAAATTTGTTTAAATAATAGTTTCAATTCAATTTTATTTTTTAAATAAATAATTTGTATTTAAATTTAACCCAATCACAACCATTAATCTATGTATATAAGTTATAAATAATAAATAATTCAATTAGCGCGATAAATATTAAAAAAAATTCAAAAAAAATAAAACCATCTTTATTAACTATATTCTACGACGTTTTACATCGATACCTAATTTTCTGATCTATTTAATGATACCATAAAAAATAGAAATTATTTGTGTCCGAAGCGTATAGAACTTACTATAGGAGTTTATATCTTCAAGATGTCTCGTGGCTTTTCTGTAATTAATTATTTTTCAAAAATTACTTTACACGCACGCTTGGCCACCTGATACTGCAACTTAAATACATGTTGGTGAAGAAAGAAAATAGATAAACTTTTATAATTAATAAATGTTAAAGTACAATTTTTAACAAAAGATACAAAAAACGAACACAACGTCGTATAATAATCTTAAATATGAATTTTTTAACAGAATTGTAAATAATAACTTTGACAGGATTATCCTTCGGTGTAAAATAAAATTTCTAAAAAATAACTAAATATATGTCTTTTTTTCCTTGATTGATCAATTTAGTCATCTCTTTCAATCCTTTGTCGATAACGTCAAATTATTTATACAATTTAATGAGCTTTTTATCAATGAAATTTTTTAATAATACGAAACAATTGTACTGTAATATTTTTTATACTTTTTGTTTTCCGCTTTATTGTCCGGAGCATAGTGAAGGACGATACCCATGGTGTAGACTATTTAACAAATTGAGTCACGTGAAAATTCTGTTTGTCCACCCGCGTGTTGTCATTTACAGTACATTTTCTACGCACGTGTCGTCATTGATATTTTTCGTGTTTTAGAATTTAATAAATGAATTTATTGCTCCGGACTCTTAATGGTTTCCATTTCCTAGTTTACATAGTTTATAAACTTAATAACTAATACTTACTAATATCTGGTTAGTAACTGGTAGAATTAATCTTCGAAGTAGAAATGCAATGCATAAGAAATACTGTATATGTGCATCAATTGCAATGTCTCCAGAAACAATTTTTTTTTATTTGACGGGATGATATCCAACCAGTTAAATATCGAGCAATAATCCTTAAACAATAATAGTTTATATGGTTGCTTGAAAAAGGTCCCACCATTATGGATTAAGTTTTTGATTTTTTCCTTGATCATTATGGAGCATATTTTGTAATATGAACAATTTTAAGTATTATTGTTTTGGAATTTCCATTTTTTACACCTTCTATTAAGACCGACCAAGAAATAATGTTATCAAAAACCATCTCTTATTGCAATTCCAGATAAAAACGCTGACCCATTGTTAGTATCTAGTGTTGTCGTCACCGGCGAGCCTGTCGCTAAAACGGTGCACCCTTCGCGTGACGATAATCCGAACGCTTGGATTTCGGCACTAAATAAGGTAAGGCTTTAACTCCGAGGCGGTTGCAATTTGGTCGACTTTCGCACTTGCTAATCTCTTCTTGACCGTCTTTCCCTCTAGGCGCGTCTCAAGATTACAAATGTCACTCTTCACAGTGCAAAAGGTAACGTCGCGTCTCTCCTTAAAGACTTTTACTTTAATGTAGTGGCGTGGACCTAGTGTATACTTTAAAGAATGTATATTGTTTATTGTGCAAAGCGAAATAGCATTTATTTAATAAAACGCGAGTGTGCAAAAACAAACAAGCGTTCTAAAATGAAACTCTAAAGCTCGGATCTTGAGCTTCTCTCCTCAAGCTACCTAAACTATCCTATTTATATGCCTCGTTGACGCGTAAATGCCCGTTAAATGCTATTACTAATTATTACATCATTTCACCATCACTGACACTATTTTTACGTGACGCGCCACAATGTCGCGTTCCCATTCCTATTGTTCCCATAACACTAGATATTGTTCTTTTAGAAATTAACATTAATAAAATCAATTGCCAATTTTTTATACATTATCAGGAATAGATTGTCAGTCTTATCAGAAAAAGTATTACAGCAAGGTCCACAAGTTAGACCTTTTAACCTAAGAAATATTGAATATTACTATTTATTAAATATTATAATACAAAAACCAATCCAGTTCCAAGGACTTTTGATATAATATAGATCGTGGATAAGTTGTCAAATTTTAAAGTATACAAAAATCCAAGAATTTTTATCTCCAAAAGAGCTCCCATGAAATTTTCTTTAATGAAATTGTTGTAATTATGACAAGAGGTGGTAGAATATTTAATAAATGCACCCATTAAATAATGATATCTCTTTTCATATGTGAAATTAACAAGAGCTTTAATTTTTGGTTATTTGTAAACTAAAAACTTCAATGAATTCGTGTGATAGATCAACTTTTACGAATAAAATAGCTTTCTTTAGGGTAGGTGGGAACTTTGAATAATTTATTATTAACTTACGTTTCTTTAAAGTTTAAAATTTATTTTTTTTTTTAGAAAATTTAAATTCTGAAATCCAGAAAGAGAGACGATTGAAAAGTAAAACTCTATGAGGACAATTTATCCTCGATATGATTATATTCAATATGAATTAATAGCCCGATTGCAGGGAAACGTTTTGTAATTTTACAGTATAATTTCCGTTGAGTGATTTAATTCTAAAAGATTATGGATGATTATGCTTAATAATTTAATAAACTTGTAAATACCATGGGTTTTCTGAAACTAGAGTTTTAATTTTTAAAGTGTGCTCTATTAAATAATTCTAGAGATAAAATACTTGCATGCATTTATCTGACAAATATCCTAAAGAGTATATGAATTCTTAATGGAATTTCGATAAACTGCTCTTTTCGAATGTTAACTAGTATAGTTTAGTCGAAGTAGGTTTGTGGGAACATAATAAGGTAACATTGTAACACGTCGAGTAACAATAGCAAAATAATGGTAAGATTGATGCAATAAGTGAGTCATACATATAGATAGAATACCGTATGTAAATAGGATAGTTTTACATAACTTAATGTTTTTTGGAACATTAGAGTTTTAGAATACTCTCATTTTTCACGCTTATTAAATAATGCCATTTTAACATTGCTCCATAAACGTTTCGTCTCTATAAACTATATGCCAAAAAGTCTAAGGGCTAGCGCAGTTATAATAAAGTAAAGCTTTTTAGTAAGAAACCGACGTTACATTAGATCTGTGAAGAGGTACACTTGCAATCTTTAGAGAAACGGTCAAAAGAATATTAGCCAGTGTGCAGAAATGAAGGTGCGCCTCAGAGTCAAAACCTTACCTCATTTAGCGCCAAAATATTAAGGTGTGGATTAGCGCCATGCCAAGAAAGTTTGAGTTGGCAATCGACTCACCGGTGACGATAACAATAAATAAGAAAACAAGCTTTCGAGATCTCTACATTATCAAAGTAAGTTTCATAACCTATTTGCATCTTGTGCCATTTTTGATACGTAATGCAAAAGCAAAATCTGTGGCGTTGCTTGCCTTGGAACGTATCGAATAAAATCAAATCAATGTCTGAATCTTATGTTAGAAGCAAACTATAAGCTTATAAATCATTCAAGTTTTGCTTATTTGTTCTCGGTAATAAACTGATCTTTATTGATTTCCGACTGTTTCAAAATATTTAAATTCCCGATAAAAAACATGGAATTATGAACATTTTTAAATAAATCAAAAGAAATAATTATCAACTCAACAATTTACTGAAATAGTAGCGGTTTAGATGGTTGGTCGCTAACTCAGACTACCCTTTGCGTGACAATAATCCAAACGCTTGGATTATGATGCTAAATAAAGAATCATTTGATTCTGTCTTTTCGCACTTGTTAATCTTCCCTTGACCATCCCTTTAGGCGCGTCACAAGACTACAAGTGCTTCTCTCTCAGTAAAAGGAAATGGCAACAACATTTTCCTATTTAAAGGTCTTTAATTATTGCAGTGTTAGCTCTTAGACGTTTAGAATTTGTGATTTGTGGACGTAAATTTGTGCAAAGGATATAGAATTTATTCAAATAAGCGGGAAAAATGGAAGTGTTCCCAAAATATTGCAACTATATAATATTTACAGTATTGCAATGTTAACGTGTTATTATCTGGATTCTATGACTAATTATTACATTATTCTTGCTATTCTTTATGCGACGCGTTACAACCTCACTGATTCATATTTATATTTTCACAACAATAGTATAACATGTATATTATTATGCCAAGGTATATAGATTTTATGACTTTAAAAGGCTTCTTTTTGAACAACAGCATTAGATGTAATGCGCTTCTGAGTTGTAATTACATTATGTAAATGATATATGTGGTACGATCCAGAGGTTTTACTGAAACTTTCGGTGCTCGCTCATTGTTATTCATTAGCAGTGTAAAGATAATAAACGGTACCAAATGAAATAATTTTTTCATGATATTATTCTTTAACGCGAAATGGCTATTATAGTTTGTGATATTCTAATAATGATTTTTTTTTAACTCAAAACTATTATTGATAAATAATTTGTTGTTGATACCAATTATGTCTCATCTCTCTTTAACCCTAGAGAAGTATCAGGAAAAATTATATAATAGATGGTGTCAAAATTCCCAATGAAGTGTGATCTTGCCATTTCCACGAAGTTATTTCCACTGTAAATGAACGGTATACCGAGGTTCAAGCTAGTGAGAACAAATAAGTTGGTACAAATGCCAAAGTCTCCAAATAAAAAAATAAATGAACCACATGAATACTTGAGTACCAAGTATAACAGTCAGAACAAAGAAATGTCGCACGACAACTGGATGTAGAAAAAACAATTTTTCGTAAATTCAAGTTCCTGATATTTTACAAAATCAACACAAATCTACGCAGACACTTCCGTTCTCACAGAGGAATATCGACAGATGATTGAGTGGACTTTTAATGGTATTAAAAAGCAAAGCCTGTGGGGGCCTTCAACTGGAGAAGAATTTGAGTGTCAGTGTTTATAAACAATAAGTGAATTTTCTGTGGTAGCTGTGTTATGGAAAACAAAATTGTACTAAATTATATTTTTAATATCCTAGTGCCGTTCATTTTCCGATTATATAATTTCTTATTAATTTAAACTTTTTTTAAAAAAGTTATAATATGGATTTTTTTAATTCGCATATTAGTAAAATATCGAATTTTTAAATTTTTAAAAATAAAATAAATCATTCATTTTATTATAAAAAAATTTTTTTTAATTTATTGTCGATATTTTTATGAATTCTATACATATATGGTTCGTCATGGAATTTTTATAATGAATTTGATAAATAATTATTCAGCATATAAAATATATTTATTTACTAATACCGTATATATTTGTATATAGAATTTAAATAAAATTCATAATTTTAGATATACAATTTTTTTTAAAAAAAAAAAGTTAATTGCAAAATTAAAAAATAATAAATAATTTTTATTTAATAATTTATTTAATAAATTCCTATATAAAAATAATTTTTAATGTCATTAAAAAAAATTTTTTTTTTTAGAGGTTAAAAACTTGTAAATTTTAGGGATACTGTATTATATATTGTTTTTCCAAATATATTTCAATTATTTTTAATCAATTTGAATTTTATATTAAAAACTTATTTTAGAATAAATTTTTATTAAATTTGTCGAGTATACTATTGAAAAAATTACAGTTAATAAATTTTATTAAAAATGTTTTTTTTTTCTCGAAAATAAATATAATTTTCAATTTTTAATGTAATTTAAAATATGAACAGTGTTTTAACATAAAATATAATTGATAGTTCATACTTTTGACTGACACCGTTTTTCCACCAATTGTTTATTGAATTATAAATAATAATAATTATAATTTCGTTCAAAGATTATAATTTAAAATATTTTTTATTTAAGTCATTCGGTAAAATTTTTTGTTACACATTATGTATGCAATTTCGACGGTAATTTTCAAAATAGGAATGTTATCTACAAATCAACTGATATTAACCTGATAAAATAAATACAGTATCATTTTGTATTACGTCCACAAGTTCTCTTCATACAGTACAAAAAAAAATGATTTTAAAATTTCTAGACAAGCTATCAAATGACTTTACCGAATTATTAAATAACAAATACGATTATAATGTCATTATTGAAGTTGGCGAAAAATCGTTTACTGCACATTCGGCAATATTATATCATAGATCGTCTTATTTTCGCAAAGAGCTGGATAAAACCACTACAAATAAAGATCATATAAAAACTATTAGTACTAATGTTTCCACCGAAATTTTTGACATGATTCTCAAGTATATAATTCAATTTTATTTTACAGTATTTATCTTCGTATGTATAGATAAACTTAATGATTAATGATTTTTGTTTTTTTTTAGATACATATATAGTGGAACTATCCATTTGGAAAATGTAGAAAATAAAAGTATTTTTGATCTAATGGTATCCGCAGAAGAGCTTGAATTTGAGGAATTATACAAGAAGCTAGAAGTCTATTTCATCGAAGATAACGCCTCCTGGTTACGCACCCATTTTTCTCTTGTTTACCACTCAGTCTTCAATAAAAATAATCGATTTAAGGACCTAGAAAAATTTTGCAATAATATTATAGCAAAATATCCCAATCTTATATTTGATTCAGAAGATTTTTCTTCTATTAATGAATCAGCTTTGGTTTCTATTCTTAAGAGGGATGATTTACAGATGGAAGAAATAGTGGTTTGGGATAGGGTCATTCAGTGGGGGATTGCTCAAAATACCTCCTTGCCTTTAAGAATTGAAGAATGGTCAGATGAGAATTTCGAAAGCCTAAAAATGACTCTTCAACAATGTTTACCACATATCCGCTATTTTCAAATATCCAGCGAGGATGTTTTCTACAAATTAAAACCTTATAAGAGGATTTTAGGAAAACAACTTTGGAATGACATTATTAAACGTTTTCTCGTTCCCGGAGGAAGAATTGAGTCAAATATTTTGTCTGTAAGATCAGTGATCACTCCAAAGCTGCCAGAGAGAGAGAAGAAACCTTTCTCGACTATTATTAATGAAGAACATGCAGCAGAAATTTCATCTTGGATTGATAATCAATTAACGGTATATTCCTTATCGAGTATTCCATATGAATTTCGATTAATATTAAGAGGAAGCCGGGATGGATTTGATCATGAAACTTTTTGGAATATGTGTAATGGTTACGCGCGTACATTGATTGTTCTAAAAGAGGAAAAAACTGGTGAAATCCTTGGAGGATATAATCCCTTGGGGTTTAATAGAACAAATGTAAATACTTGGTTAAGTGCAAATGAATGTTTTATTTTTTCATTGAAAACAAGTGACAGAACTAACACAAAACTTAGCCGAGTAAAAGATCAGAACGCCATTTACTTCTCTAATGCTGGTCCTCAATTTGGATATTTTTCAGCTCTACAGATTTTTTGTAACAGAAAACAATTTTATTGCGGTGGCTGCACTAGTTATGAACGTATAAAAAAAGATCAAGGGCATTTCACAATGGCCGATTATGAAATATTTGAAGTTGTTAAAAAAATTATTTAATGCAGATGTAGCGTGACGTTTTTTTATCCATATTAGCATATTATCTTAGAAAGTTAAGCAATATTTTATTAATAATACCGTGACCATATAATGGTTTTCCATAGGCCGTTGATGTAAGTGATGTATTTTTTGCGGATGTGTGTATATCAATTTAGTGGTTCCATTTCAGGATTAATATTAAATATATTAAGCGTGGAAAGCATTAGAAATACTGTATGAAGTATCCGTGCGAATAATAATGTATTTAAAGAAAAAATCATAATTTTAACCAAAATCTGACAATCGAAAATAATCTTAGGTCTGCTCTCGTTATTAATCCCCAAAGAACTTGATATCAACATATACAAACTGCCAAATAGATGTGTTTTTTTTATTATGCTTGCTTAAGTTACTGTACATTGCCGTATAATACGAGACCTAAGGTCATTAAGTGTTTATTTAGCAGATTACGTAGATTAGTATATATTTTCTTATATAATTCTTTATGTCATATTTTCCTACCATCTAATGATGTAATAATATAATTACCATATAATGCGTTCTTAATGTACTGTATATAAATGATATAATTTTTCTCTTATATTTAAATGATGTGATATAATGATTTTAAATACCTTTACCTCGTAAATTTTCTTTCATAAAAAGATTATTACTCCTAGAGATAAAATAATAATGCTCTATCTCTTTTTTAATGCTTTTTATATTTTCTCCACCACTAAAGTCTTTTTACCGAATTGAAATACGAGAAAGTTTCTTTTTATCGAACTAAAATCTTTTCTACTGCGAAAAGACTCCTGCTGTGAGAAAACAGAACTGAAATAGTTATGTGTTATTTATTTATCATAATGTATTGTGTTTTTGTCGAGTCCGTGACGCAAGGTAGTAGGGTCTATTGATTTCGTTTGATGGATCAGTTATGAATCTTTATGAAACTATTTTATGGGAAAGCAGTAGGAGCATAGTAGCTTATCGTCCGTTAGCTCTAGGGCTTATAGTGTTTTCTCAGAACTAATTACACGTACAGTATATTATGCGTAAATTATTATAAAACTTTTTAATAGGTGTAATTGATCGTTGCTTCGCTCTTTAAAAGTGAAGCAGACTTTATTATACACCTAATCTTTCTATTACGACACCCTTTTCACTAATTTTTTAATAATCATGAAACTTTTTTAGTGATATTTTCTTTTACTTTATCTTGGAAAATCATTGTTTCTCAGAGTGTTTTTTTTATTTGCCTAGGTTTATTGTTAATGTATAATAGTGGTTATTAACGAAAGGTTTTCTTCTTTTTAATGTAATATATTTTCGAATTTTATTAATCAACTATACTTTCTTTTTAAGTTTTAAATAGAATTTTCTCTTGAAGCCTCGTTATCTAAGGATTCAATTACTAATTATTAAAAGAACAATATATGTATATTTCTTTTAATATTATTATACAAATAAAATCGATATATTTTTTCATAAAATTTAATTTTCATAAAAAGGTTATAATTGATACGTCTTTATACAGTATTGTATAATCCAACAATTTGCGTGTCCTAGATCGAATCTATAATTTTTCTCTCAAGAGTTCGAATCTTGAGTTTTATTTACTGCCTGATTATTTATAAATTTTTATACTTTTTTATATATAATGTTTAGTTTCAACACTATTAAATCGTTTTTAAATTAAGTAAACAGAATCTTTAAGTTTTGTCGATCGTATTCTGAGTTGCCCGTTTCTTAGCCCATTTAAGGATGCAAACAATTACTAGTTACTAACCATTGTATGTATGGAGCGTGTACTGTATATTTCATTATTTTTATAATTATTAAATATAATTCACATTTGCCAAGCATCAAATGTATAGTCCTTCGCACCAGATAATAAAATTTGGATTGAAGATTTTTTAATTTTAAATTATTATGCAAAAATAAAGGGAGCGAGAGTATCTATTTGAGATTGTCATAAAAGTTTATTACTGTTATTTTGCATCAAGGTGTTTGCAACTTCCATGTAATAGATTAACTTTCAAAATAGCCTTTCACACGCACTCACAAATGTTAAACTACAATTTTTTAATAAATGGATAAATTTAATACACGAACTTTATCGAAAAATCCTAAATATCTTCTCTATATAATTTTCTTAAACAATAAATCTATTTAAATGAATTTTAAGAAAATTAAAAATTGCAATGCGACTGATAAAATTTCCTAACTAAATGTAATTAATTCGATTATTCCGTTGATATTTTCCACTAATCAATTCAATTATTTCATTCGTCTTCTCATCTAAATCATTAATCTTTTTGAATTTTTTATACAACTCATTGATCTTTTCGTCTGCTTTTTTTTTCATGTCCGACAATTTCTTTAATAGCACGAGACAAATATGGTCGTGATATTTCTTCATGCACCTCATTTTCCATTTTATTAACATATTTTGTAAGTTCTTCGATGGATACTTTATAATATCCGAAAAAAATTATTCGTGTTAGAAACTGGTCGAATCAATCTTCCAAGCAACAAACGAATAAGAAATATATGTGGAACAATTACAAAATTTCCGGAAACCAATTTTCTTTTCTTCTTTGGCCAGAAATCATCCAAAAAAGTTCAATCTCTGCCAAAACCTATAAGTAATAATTAATATCATCGTTATAATATTTAATTATTCGAATAAATAAAAAAACTATTACCTCTCCTCTTAAGAGCAATAACGCTTCTTCGTCATTTGTATTATTAATTTCAATATTAAGTAATCCAATCAATAAATTCATTAAGTAAATCGCAGTAAAAAATGAAAACACAACTAATATAACCGCCAATGTCGTGTTATCTCCTAGAGTCCATGACGAGACAGAACCTCTGTCTCCTATTAATACATAAAAAGTTAGCAAATAAATTTATATTTAATGTCATATGATTATATAATACAATACCCGTTAACATGAAATAAACAGCTAATAGAGCGGTATTGAATGCTGAAAATTGGTTTTTATTTTCATCTGGAGTTGCAATAAGTGATTGTTTTCCAATAACACCATCGGAGGAAATAGATTGGTATCTTGCGGCAAGATTACAAGGATTATTTTCGTCATCAGCGTAACTTGGTTCATCATAAGAATATTCAGTGGTCGGTCTTAATAGGAGGTGTAAAGAATGGGAAAATGCTAAAACAATAATACCCAAAATTATAATAAAGTAGGAAATTTGTTGGATCACTCCAATGATAATTGCAAAATATGATCCAAAATGGTCAAGAACTCGGAAAAATAATAAAAATTTGAGTTCAAGTACAAGCGTTGATATAACGATAATCCACAATGGCAAGCTTCCATCAACTAGCTATATAACTGAAGTTAGTGTTGGAAAAAATATTGCAGCAAGATCTGAAAATTAAATTAAGTTAGAACGTGTATCATGTTAAATATTGAGTATTAAATCATACGAACCAAACCAGTTCCAAGGACTTTTAATATAATCCCCTAGATAGTGAATAAATTGTCTAATTTCAAAAGTAAACTGAAAAATTCCCCAAAAAATCGTTGTTCCCAAAAGAGCTTTCTGATATTCCCATGAAATATTCTTTTGTAGAATTGTTGCGATTATGATGAAACATAATATGAATATCGAGTAAATTGTCCAGATCAGATAATAATATTTTTTTCCCGTATGCACTCCACTTAAAGTTGACAAGAGCTTTTATGTTCGGCCATTTATAATATTCTGGAGAATCTAATTTGGTAAGAGTTACTGCGTGGAAAAATAAAACCTTTATAAGCAGAATAGTTTTCTTTAGGGTAAGTGACAAAATTCAATAAGGGTGCCATTAAATAAACGGTTTTTTTAGGACTTAGGGTATTGCTTTTTGATGATCAGAAATATAGGCGATCGAAAAATGATGTGTTAAATGAATATGGGAAAGTTTTATAAGGGTCTGTGTAAATTGAAATAGATGTGTCCTCCACTATGTTATAATAATAACCAGGAATTAATAATGCAGTTTTGGATAAAAAACGTTGCGTGAATCTATAATATTTATCTAGTGATTCTAATTTTATAAGATTATAGGTAATTGCTTCTAATAATTTAATAAACTTGGAGATAAATTTGACGTTATTTAACTGAATTAAGCTATCGACAATGGATTCAAAGAGTTTCCTACAGTCATCAACTCTTTTTAATTTCAGCTAATTTTTGGAGCAAATCTTCGCTTATTAATTCCAGTGATGCTATATTATTTAAACTATATTCAACAATAAACTTAATGCATTTCACACTAAAGTCAACTCTTTTCGTTTGAATTGATATTTCGATCAGGTCTCTTCTGTATAATCTCAGAAATGAGATGTCATAAATATATCTGTGTAACATATCTTCATGCGAAAAATCTTGTTCCACTAATTCCGGACCCACTAACAGAAACTCAGATGTTGAAGCTTGATTTACCACTAACTGTGTATAAACTATTATTTTATGCTTAGTAATTTGATCGAAATACGGGGAGGGTAAGGAGTTTTTAGAATCTTCAGAATCGAATTTGCTCTTTAGCAAGGTAGGTTGCTTAATTGTAACTTCTTGTGCTGTTGCTGATGCATAATACGCATCCAAATGAGCCCAACAATAAAGTAACTTAATGCCGCTGTTGCCATTTTCTGTCCAGATTTGTATGCCAGAAGAGGAAATCAGGATAATATCTTCGTTTTTAAGTAGTTGAAATTTTATATAAACTTTATTTGTATTAATCACATATAAATGAACATCTACACTTCCTATATCTTCATCTGTCTTAGACTGCTTGGGCGTTAATCTAGCTACTAATGCATTTTCACGTTTCACGAAATCAATAATCCAGGTGTATAGGTGGCCTTTATAATATTCTTTTTGGGGAACTTGAACCTTGTCTTGGCTTAGCTTATATGTTTCTAAAATATTTCCTATTCTGTCTTTTATTTCTTCTTCGTAAGAACGTAAATCAATTTTATTATCATTTCCTGGTTCGCTGTGTATGTCATCTTTCCACTCTACATTTTGAGATAAACTTTCGATTTGTAGGCGATTATTAAATCGTACAATATAACCAGGAATAGCAAAATAATTTTCGGTCAATAAATCAAAATTTCTTGAACTTTTTGATTTCAAAAAAGTGCGTAGATTAATGATATAGAATAAGCACTCCCTGTCAAAAAAGACGAACAAAAATTCCTCTTTCTCTAAAATTACAAATTTCATAATGTCGATGTCATTTTCATCTATTAAATAAATATGTGTTAATAATATGAATAGATAATTTTCTTATATGAAAATAGTACTTATATAAGTATCAGACAAGGGATCATCAAATGATGCTGTTAAATAAATTTATACGTCAGCAATAAAATTAGATAGTTTACTTGTACATAATTATTACTTACCATATGCTTCCATTGTACCAGATTTTATTGAATAAAAATAGACTTTTGATTTTTCTCCCTGCTCTTCCGACTTCTTATTTAACTCTCCGGCTACGGCTAATAATGTATAATTATTATTCAGTCCATCCTAATCGATTTCCAAAACCTAATCAAACTTCAATCTAATTCGTATTGCGCTTCAAATTTTCGTGTTACCAAATTCCATTGCATGATTATAAAAGGTGTATCTAAAGAATAAGCACTCTTTCCTGAGAAATTATCATACGTTTATATTCTACGAGTTTAATGCTATCCGTGCAGCTCCACTGATTTTTGTTATCAGAATAGATGTAGACCTTATAAACAGGATTCCCTTCAACAACTACTAACTCACCGTTTTTAAGAAATTTAGAGTAATCAATTATTCCTTTTAAATCTTCTTGAGCATTCGATATTTTCATTTTCCTGTTTTCGTAGTTTCTGATTTCTATTGAGATAATTATATTAGATATCTGATATTGACAAGAGACTTAGGATTAATTAAAATTAACCGAGCATTAAAGAATTTCCTATAAGAATATTTTCGAAATCAGAGACACTTATTGGTGCCATTAAATTTATATTTTTAAGGTCAAATAAGTGATCCAATTTTAATTCACACTCTTCTTTTTTCTTTCTTCATAAATTTCCACGTGCAAACTGAACAGTCTTTATAATTCACGGTTGCAACATACTCCATGTTTGGTGAGCAAATAACTTTGAAATCGTCCCAAATTCTACCCTTTCCGAAGTGTGATAAAATTTTTACATCATCGCTCAAATTTCGGCATTCCTCAAAGTCTAAAATTTTTTCTTCATCAATCGAAATTCGATTTTCCTCAAGGTCTAATTCACTCATTTTCTATAGAATACTGAATTAAATGTACGTTCATCAAAACTCTTTATTTATATAAAAAGGAATTTACGATCAAAGCATGTACCATTTATGTAAGGAATAATTGGCTTATGGAGGAGACAACAAGTTAAAACGAGTGCTGTACTGTACTATATTTTGGACAACGACCGAAATTATTGGTAAACAACGAATGAATAAAAGACAGTAGTAACATGCATTAGCATTGTGCAACTTATCTCACGAAATCCAGTAAGTACAGTATAACTTTATTGATAATCTTTTTTATTGCGCATCCTTTTACACTTATTTTATACATTTCTTACCCTTTTTGCCTTAGAAACAAGCAAAAGGAAAGAAAAGAAACAAGGAACAAGAAGAAAGGTAAAAATTTCGTAAATGTTACGTAATTTTATTTTTCTATTGGTTGTTTTTTGCCAATCATATTTCACTGTACTGTCATCATTTTCTTCGACCGACAGACCAACTGATCGACCGAAATACGTAGTCACTACTGTATTACGTCTACTCTTATTTTTATTTGTCCAAGGTAATTAGTATTGATATTTATTGTTCTTCTTTATTTTTTCAAAGAACATGTTAATTTAAGTTCTATAACAAGTTGAAATAATAAACATCTATTTTAAGAATAGTTGAAAATAAGTATTTAATGTTTTATGATAGTTAATAAAATAGAAATTCCAAGAAAAAAACAAAAAAAAATTATTGATTAAAAACTATTAACCAACCATGGATATACAATTTATTTATTTTTTTTTTTATCGTAAAAGGGCATTATATGCAAGTCTTTATTAAATTGTATATGTATGATACATGAGTTACATCAAACATCTTTACAAAATATTTCTCTAAATTAATGTTAGCCTATCTACGATGCTAACTAAAACGATCCTCCTTACACTTAATGTAGATTGAATTAGTGTTAGTACTGGATGGTTAATGCCCTTCTAGAATTAAGATGAGATCTTGGGACTTTTGTATGTTCATTTGATCTGTTTGTTGTGAGTTGGAATGTGTGATAATTTTGTCAAATAAGTCTGGTTGCGCAACAGGTAATCCTTTCGGTTTGGTAATTGTGGGTTTCAGAGTAGATTTTTTCTATCTGATACCAGATGTTATTGAGATGTTTGCTGTTGCCGATCTAGGTATCCATATTGCTTTGTACAGAAGTTTAAGAGTAGAGTTTGTTAACTTAGCCTGTGCTTTTTTTGAGAGCTGGATTATGAGGGTCGACAATCTGCATGCTAAGCCTTCAAGATTTGACTTTCTATTGATAATCAGAATTTGTAATTGGCGAACTGATTCTGCTGCTATTGTTTTGGACCTGCTTTTAGGTAAAAGTTTTTTAATTTTGTTTATAATTTTGTTTTTGATTTCAATAAATGCCGATGTGTTTTTATAACATTCGAATATGTGTCTTTGTGTCTCAGGTGCAACTAGACACCTGGGGCAAAGGTTGTCTTTGTATAGATATGGATATCTCTCACATAATACTTGTCTTATAAGAGAGAATCGTTGAGTATTTTGCATCTAAATGCTAGCAGGGATGAGCAGCTGAGCTTATCTTTTTTGATAAGAATCTTATTAGCTAAGTAAAGTGTTTGGAAGGATTCCAAATCAGGTGCCTGGTTCCATCTTTCTTTGACAGTTGAGCTATTAGTAAAGTCTACCATTCTATATATTTGTTGAACTCTTTTAATCCAGTATGTTGGTCCTATGCTCCAAGTGTTTTTAATTCTAGGGCTAGTTATATAGTTGTCAACTGTTAGGATATTGTCGATTGAAATAATGCTGTCGCTCTCCTGGGATGTCGGAGTACTGGTTTGCTTACATAAGGTTAGTCTAATTTCTTTTTTAGTGCAGAGCTCATTGATACAGTTAATTAGATGACTATATGAAATTTTGATTCTTCAGTTGAGATAGCTTGAGGTGTCTAGCCATAATACAAATAGGTATTGATGATTATATAAGTTTGTTTCTTAATAGCTGCTAGAAGTCCTATGATCGATAGCAATATGTTGATAGGTTAGTTATAGATTAAGTGCAGTATTAAGTTAATTTCTTTGTTTTCTAAAAAAACTAGTTCATCTTTTGTTATTAGGTCTATTATTGGGAAGGGACAAATATTTGATATCAATTGCTTAATATCTTCTATCATATTCTCATTTAGCTGAAAGGTATCTTTGTCAGGTAGGTTGTTGCCGATCATAACAGTAGAGGTAGCGTTGACTTCAGGGTGTGCTTGTAGCTGTTCTATTATTTTTTCAGGAGCATTGGTTAAATAGTGTTTATTGTTTTTTGAAAAGGTCCAAAGAGACATGGCTTCACTTGTGAGTACAATGATATGCACCCCACTATTATAGCATTGGCATTTTGTGAGCATTTTACTTGGATCGATAGTGTAATGCAGCCCCTTAAGTGGTTGGTTTGTGTCTCTATTGATTCTTGACTTAATATATGATACTTGATTGTTTTCCATAAAGGCCCAGAATTTAGCTTTAAGATTAGGAATGCTAGTAGAGGTTTCTTGAATATCAGGTATAATTTTGATTTGTGAGAACCATGATGGCACAGGGCCTAACGAAGTAGGACCTATATGCATATTGAATTTGTGCCAGGTGAGTCTCCAGTTGTTCTTGTAAACGCACAAATCTTTGAAAGTCTTGATTTCTTTCTGGAATAGACCTGAGGCTTGCTGCTTGTGTGCTTTGTCTTTGAATAAGAAGAAGAGACCTAGAGATAGATTACCATCAGGATCGTTGAATTTGCAGTTTGGAGAGCACACATTGATTTGGTATTTTTTGCATGCCGTGATAGCTTGGATTATCCAACTGGTTGAAAATTTTTCTGGATGACAGATTGGGCATAACCAAATTACATTGCTTGCCTATATTGATTTGATTTCTATGTTAAAGGCATCTGTCATTTTTGAGTTGCATGCTTTCGTAATGAGAAGTTTGGTCAAGATGAGGTCTTGTTTATCCATGAGGTTGATACATTTGAGATCAGCTTGTAAGTATACAATTTTATCAGAGATAGTTCTTTCTATGTTGAATTTTCGCTTAATTAAACAGTTAATTCTTGTTTGGATTGCATGTAGTTGGTTCTTTATCAGTGTTGTTGAGTGCAACATGTAATCGATTTTGCTTTGGATTATCCAATCAATTACTTGCTTTACTATTGGTCCATTCCAGAACTGCTTACTGAGTGCTAAAATTGTTTGGTTCAAGTTTTTTATGAAAGGTTGCTTGCATGAATTGCTGGAGCTGTCTCCTAAGAAGTAGTTGCCTAGGTAGCGTAGTGGTACTTTATGTGGCAATGGCTGAACCAAAGTATTGAGAACCTTTAGTATTAAGTTTACTGTTGCTATTGTTGTTACCCAATGTTGTAATTAACATTGTTTTTTCAGTGTAACATTTGATATTGTCAAGAGTAAGGAAGGAGCAGAAGATATTCATGGTTTTTTGTAGTTTTCTTATTAACTGAGCTATTAGGAGTATGTCATCTATGTATGTAAGGATATTGTGGGAGATCAGTGCGTGATTCTGATAGCTGAAGACTGTTGCCACCATTGGATCATAGAAAATAGTCCAAAGTAGGGGTGACAGGGTTTCTTCCTGATTCAGGCCTTTTGAGACTTTGAAATTTCTTGTTCTTCCACAGTTAGTTATTATAGAAAGGTTTCTATTATTTAGCAGATTAAGAAAAATATTTGTTAGCTTGTTTGGAATTTTGATTCTTGAGAGGGCTGCTTTCAAGCTGCCAAGATTTACTGAGTCAAAAGCTTTGGCAATGTCAAATGAGGCAATCCAAAGTTCTTGGTTGAGGTTGGTTGCGACGTTTATAGTTGAGATGGCTATCGAAAATAGTTCCATGGTACTTTGCTTTGCAAGGCCAGTGAATCTTGCCTTTGAAAGAATTTTGTGCTTAATGAATACTGCTGAAACTCTAGTATTAATTATTTTTGTAAAAATCTTCCTGACTGACTCAATAAGTGAGATTGGTCAGGTGTCTGAGATTCTGCGAAACTAGACTAGTTTCTTTGGTAGCAGGACTATTGAAGACTTTTTCCAGTATATGGGGATTTGTTCACTCATTAAGATATATTTGTACAAGTTTAGAAGTGTTTTCTTTGAACCTTTGCTTAGGTAGTTAATCATTTCATATGTGATGCCTGATTCTCCTGGGGTTTTGTTTAAAGGTAGTTCATGAATAATGCTGGTTAGTTCTTCCAAGTCGATTTGGCCTAGAGTTGGATTGTATATCTCCTCTGAAATGCTCTCCAGTGGTAAATACTTGTTGGCCCATTTTGAGTTTGTTAGGTCGAAATCACAATTTTTGAGAATTTTTTTAAAATAATTGATTATAATTGTTTTGATTTCTTCTGGATCGTCTGTAAGATTGCCTTTGCTATCTTGTACAATATTTAAGTTTAAGGAGGGTTTCAAGTCCCCCAATGCTTTCTTGATAAAACTCTTTGGTCTTTTCCAGAATTTGAAGTAGTTGTCTAAAATGTTTTTATGGATTTTATCTGCTTACTGTTCTTTTATTTGGTGCAATTTCTCTTTGATTAAGGTGCTTCTTAGGCAATTAAGCGTTTTGATTAATACTGGTGTGCTGTTGAACATTTTTTGGTGCAGTGTATTGATATTCTTTGGAATTTTACTTTCTACACCTTGCGCTTTTGTGTTTTTCCTCTTTTTAATACTTGAAATTAGTTTTTTGATTTGTTTTAGCAGCCGGAAATGCTGGCCAGTCCTTTGCTGGTTAACTCTATGTAGTGGAAGTTTGACTAATGGTAGATTGTTTCTTGCTACACTTATCAAAATTTTGTTGAATATTGGCCAGGAGCAGCTGTCAACTATTTCAATCCTTAGATCAACTTCTTCACTAAAATCCTTCTTTTGTTGTGGTGACGTATTTTTCCAATCAAAGACTTTGGTCTGGCAACCTTGTATTCCTGATTTGTATTCAAACCAGTCAAAGATCACATGGACTTGTTTGTGGTCAGAAATTATAAAGAGTGAAGTAAATATTTTGGCTTCTAGAACTTTAGAGCCCAAATGGTTAGTACATCAAATCTGATCAATTCTTGAAGCACTTGTCTGAATATAATGAGTAAAATCATGTTCTTTGTCAAGTACCTTGACAATGTCAATCCAACTGTGCATATAATTATAAATTCTTCTTTTGGGATTTGATGTTAGGGCATTTATCGCTGGGGTGCCTATTGGATATAAGTTGAAGTCACCAGCCATAATTTGATATATATTGTTTCTGAATTTTCTAATGTGTTTGATTAATGATCTTGTTGCTATTTTATGCTCTTCTGACTCATATAGAAGATAAATAACAGTAACAATTGGGTCGATTTTTGGCTTGAACTTAAGATAAACTGCACATCAGTATTCATCTTCTGTAAATGTCCTAAATATATGATTAACCAAGTCCTCGCCAATTATTAGGCATGCCCCATTTTTAGAAGAGTCTGAGAGAGAGCTTGTGATGATAGTACGGTTGTTACATTTCTTTGGAAGGCGATTTCTATGTGAAATTTTTGTTTCAGAGAAACATAGGATTGATCTATTATTTGCGAGATCTTGTGTGAGAGCTGCCAGTTTAGAGGTGTCATTTAAACCGACTGTATTGAGAGTTGAGATATTTAGAAGGTTTTTGATAAGTGGAGTTTGTTTTTTTGACAGAGGGTTATAATTTGTATTTATTTGTAGTGAATGAATAGAGTTGGATAGACTTATCATATTAACAGATGAAGAGTACAAGATCAAAACCGGGCTTCGGTAGATCTTCAGGAGCGATGTAGTTATCAAGGAGCCTTTCGAAGGCATATTTTTTTATGCAGTTGGGCTATTGTTGCAGATAGGTTCTCACCATCTTTTAGTGTGAATCTGACTTCTGAGAGATTTTTTTCGCATATTTTATTGAGTTCCTCTAAAGAAGGTAGAGGAGGCTTAGAAGCTTGAAACCAGTCCTCAGGGATTGTACAAAATTCCTATTTCTTGTGCAGTTTGCAAATGTTTGCTAGGAAATCTTGGGAATATCTATTAATGTGATCTTTGATTCCAATAGATAAGTTTAAGTAGATGATTTTGGCCAGAAGTTTTTCTTTATAAGTTTGCAATATTGAAAAGTCTATCCATTGGGGACCCAGGGGCAAATTGAATTTGAAGTCCCTTTGCAAACGTTTTATAAGGATCTCTGCACTTTCTTTAGATTGCACTGGAAGTACCATATCCAATTCATCTAGCAATGGGTTAGGAGAGGAGGGGAGTGGTCTTTTAAACTTGTAGTAATCGAGTGGCAGAGTTTTGAGGCTATACTCTTTTCTTAAGATTTCAATCAACTCTTTTGTGTCTATTGTAAGTAAATCATGTGGGAAGTAGGTTGCTAAGTGTATAGGTAGCAATTTGTATGAAGGGGAGTTTTGGTTAGTGATAAGTTAAAGAATGACTTGGGGAGTTTCGTAGAAATTTCGTAGTATCTGGCCAGTTCCTTTATTCTTATTCTGAGGTCTTTGAGATTTTTTCTCTCGATAATGGGAAACAAGTAATTAGTTTCTTCGTTCAGATCTTTTGGGTCTTCTGGTAGCTCTGCAAATTTGAAGAAGTATGAATCTGAAAGTTGGGAAAACTTGTAGTATACCCTTAGAATTGATACGATTGGAGAAAGGTGTGATTTTTTTTTTATTAGAAGTGGGCATGGGAGTTTTATGATTATGTTGGAGGGGATCTAATCTGGCAGGATTGGCAGGTCTAGAAGTGATTCATACAACATTTCCTTAATAAGATTTAACAATTCAATATAGTTGACGTAATTATCATTGTCTCTCAGTAAATAGTTACATCCATATTCCAAGATCTGTGCTATTTCAAAGAATCTAAATTTGTTGAGATTGGTAAATCTTAGGCAGGCTACGAAAAGTAAGGAGTTTAATATCAATATGATTTTCCTCTTGATTCTTCTACTGATGTAGTTGACGTCATTGATTTTTTTGTAGTTCTTATGAGCTTTTGTTTCCAGAGCCTCATATTCAATTTGGTGGTTTCCTTTCATTAATTCGTTTTTGGTAAATAATCTGAAAAAGGTTCTGTCTCTTAGAAGGATTTTGGTAAAGATTGCAAAGTGAGGTTCTTGAGTAATTGACCCTTTTGGGGTGGTTTTGATATTCTTGAACAGTTCAGCTACTTTCTTTGCATTTGTATGACAGGCCGACAGCTGTGATGCTAAGTCGATTATCGTATTATGTTCACTGATGAATGGTTCGCCTGGACTGGTTGATAGGGTTTTATAAAAACCATCTATTGGTTTATGGAAGTTTGGGTCACTTTCCAGAAGAATTTCGGTTATTCTATTCTCTTTGGCACTTGGGAGTGGTGTTAATTGTAAACTTGTTGATGAGTTTTCAATTGGGGAGAGACTGGAGGAGCATGCAAGGTCTTCGGTTAAAGGTTTTTTATGTGGCCAATCTGTCACATTTAGAAGTTCATCTCTACTTGTTTGGTCAGAAG